TAGTGTAACTTAAACTATGTCGTTGATTATGGAAATAATATTTGAATGTAAACAATAGGACAATTACATGTAGGTTATAGTTTTTTGTACAAATTTGAAGGTCTTTTGTTTTTAAATTCGAACTATTTATTCGAATTAAAAACAAAAGGCCTCCAAATTGGTATAGTACATCTTCCCGTTGCGAAGCACAGGTAAAGCAGCTAGTGATAAATAAATGTTGATTCTCGCAATACAAATCAATATTTCCCTTTGTAATTTCAAGCAATGAGCCCCCTAAGTTTACACTTTGCACTGTGATGCAGCAAACAAACACAAAGTTGACCGTGGTCTTAGAATAACTGACATTGACACTATTGCCCCCCCCTGCCCCCCTACCCCTAGTACTATACACAACAAACAATGGATTAAATAAAGTTACACCTACAATACAATACCACACAATGGATCTAAATGCAACTAAAACTTGGTTTAGTTCTTGAACCAGCAAGATGGGGTCATAGGAACAAGGTGAAACGGAAAGTCAAAAATATTTTTTTTTTCAATTTTCACCCTAAAAAATGGAAATGCTCAATTTTTATTGCGGCCATCATAAAAAACAAATATTTTAATATGTTGAAGCGTTGTTGTACAATTAAAGGTTACGGACAAAGTTAAAACAAAATCTGTACATTTTAAATTACCATGCTATTAATTATTATTAATATGTAATTATAAATGAACTAATTCTTAAAAAGACAATTAAAACTATTTTAGTATGCTCGTTTATGTATAGATGTTGATAAAAATCAACAAATCTATTTATTTATTCATATAATAGTGACATATCGTAGAAAATACTTGTTTCTTTCCCGTAGCAGAAAACCTAAGTACTCGATAAACCTGTTATTGAAAATCTAACAAGACAAATTGAAATTCGCTTAGTCAGCAGGTTTGCTGCAGCAGGGGTATTTCAGATTTTGGCGTAGTTAGTAAAGTTGTTGTATACTTTATTCACCCCAAGATATTACTGTAAAAGCTTACTATTTGATTTTAATGTCAGCATATTTTAAGGGGCGATAGGTGAATACGTCATCACTACTGGATGTCTTATAAGTCCATCAAACCATGTAAAAAAAATAAATAAGAACTGTTCATGTATTTTGCGCTAAAAATAACCACCAATTGAATTCTGAATGTTTACAGTGTACCAATTTTGTTGATGATTGGAATCTCGTTAAATAACAAGTTGAGGAGTATACAAGTTAAAGTTTTATAATTTAATCAATAAGTTTAACAAAGTCCAAAATGTGATAATGTTGTTTGTATTCATTATCATTACTACTCCAATGGTTGGATAACGACTTCCACCGCTTTAACATAGTAAGATATTACTATCATGAAATTTTAGTAAAGTTGTATTTAAGAACCAATTAGCTCAATTGCTGAAATTTATGAATGTAGTTTTGTTTGTTTGAAACAGTAGACTGTATTTATTTTTTACACAGAATATAAACGTAATAAAAAAGAAAAAAAGATGAATTTGCAACACTGTTTGTGAACAAAAAAGAAACCTTGGCAGAATTTTAGACACATCTTTGCACACAATGTGTTTAAACGTTTTTTTTTAAGAAGGTAACAAATTATTTTGGGAAAAGTCTGATTGGATTCCATCTGATTTTTTAAACTAACTAGTATGAGAATTAATAATTAAATAGTTTTTTAGTTATACAATTTATGCAGTAACTTTTAAAGTAATAACATTAAATATTTTGAAATATTGAAATTTAATTATAATTGAAACTTTAAACAACATTGTCATTGGACGTTGATTAAAATAAATAGAAACGATTAGTAACTTTTATATGTAAAATTCAAACAACTTTACCAGTTAATTGATTTTTCGTATGAAAATAACAGAAATAATTAGGTTACGAGCATTGTGAAAAACAGTAGTATTCTACTCTAGCTATTTGACCGTCTGTACATAGTTTTTACTCATATTTCATAATAAATTGATCTAATCTACTGTTTTTAGTTTGTGGGTGTTGTTTATACACGAATCAATTTAAATACAGAAAACCAAAACATTCGAAATACCAATAAAATCCGGCACATTCCAGTTAATGTGTTTACAGGCTTTAGTTTGACAAGTGTTAAAATACCATTACGATAAGCAATAAATCATTTAAGTTAAAGAAGACCTTGCGAGTTCAATCGCCCTCCGCGAATCAGAGACAAGAATTGACCCGAACACTGAGATAATGTACTATAATTACCATTGTATAGACATTGTGCCAGAACTCTACACATTGTTTGAATGTGAAATAAAATATTTTTAATAAATCATAGATTGAAAATAACCTGAAATTTTTCTACAATCACTGGTTTTGCCAATAATCAGCTCAGCTGGATCAGCTGTTTCGAATATCCAATTTAATTTGTCTTAAACAGCTGTTAAAGTGTAAAATATTTAACTATGGAGAAAATTTTACATACAATTCCCATGTTAAAATCACAAGTATCTTTGAAAAGTATCGACATTGATTTTTCTTCGTGAAAACCCGTTAATTCCTACGGTACAGCGAATATTTATTTACCTCGAGATTTTGAAGGCCAAAGTGAAACAGGATCAAATTAATCAATGTCATTATAAGCACCCCCTCGATATACGGTCTATCTTCTTTTCAAATGTCGTAATTAGTTAAGTTTTTTGTGATAGGAAGACTATATACAAGCAGACAACGTTTTACTTCAGTATAGATAATTATGAAACTTAAAGTTTATCACAGTCAAAACAAACTTTGCAATTAACCTAATCTACTAGGAAAAACTCCACTTGCTCCATAAGAGAATTGTGTCGGTTTTTGCCCTATGACGGAAGCGCTAGAAAAAGCGTGCAGTAGTTATGATTTGACCAACCCAAGGTCTGATAAACCTGACCCTGGCGACTTTTTGTGGCGGCTTCACTGGGTTGTTGCAAGGTGATCTGGTGTTTGTTGAACTCTATGTAAACAATCATGTCAACTGAGGAGTATATTTGTTAAACTCTGCGATTTTTAATATTTAATCATCTTTTTACAGTATATGGAATACAGCTTTACGCATCCAATTGTAGGACTACCATTTGACCGACATGTCACTTTGTCGACAGCCTTGTTGACCGACATGTTAAAATTAGTACGAGAAACCACTTTGTCGACATGTCACTTTGTCAAGAAGTAGGTTTACTATCATTTTAAATTGCATGGATTAATACAATAAATTGCTTTGTTGACGAGATATTTTGTCAACAGATCAGTTTACCAACATTTTATGTCAATGGTTAAAATACCATGGTTAAAATAGGTAGAACGCTAGTGCACCCTATTGTGAAATCAGAGGCCTGTTTTGTAGGTTTCATTTAGGGTACGATTTATGCCCTCACAAAATAATCCGCTCTTATTTTAGAGTAGGTTTTGGAATTTGTATTTTACCATCCTACTTATTTTACCCTTTGGTTTTTATAACAAAAAAATAAATAACTATATTCCGTTCACAAAATTTAGGGGGTTTCAGGGAAAGTGATTTCATTCCCTCCACTCCACCATAACTATGAAATAACAGCAGGTAGCCGATCAGCTGATATAATAAGTTTAAAATTGGCGGGGGAACCCAGGCTTACCCTTAACCGCCTTAGTGAATGGATTGTCATAAAATATACCTACGAATAAATGAGAAACATTTAAATGCTATTAGTGCACTTAAACCTTACCAATAAATATCATTATTGACAATAGGATGGTAAGTCTACACGCACTCTTCTGATTCAGTAATGTTACTCAACGGTGTACAACAAAATTTTCAACGGTAAGGGATATGCATTTGTTTAAGCTACTTCACCGGAGCATAATGTGAAACGCAAGCTTTTGATTGGTTGTTGTTCATTTCGTCGCAACATAACAAGATTGTGAAGCTCATATAATAATTATTAAGCTCGCATTCATTCGTCACACCTTTATACAACTCCAAAATGTAATTGGAATCAGCGTTGACATTTTAAAACGAGCACTAAACTAGAGAGTTAAGAGTTACTCCATATATAAAACATCAGTTTGTTATCAAACTGAATGTTTGAAATACAGTACCATGTTATTTTATCATCTCAGTTTCCTCATAGATAAATCTATCTTCGTTATTTCGTGTTACAACTAATTATAAGCATAAATAGTTGTACGAGCTGTTTAAATCTATTTGTAGAAAAAATATTTTAACTGTGAAATAAAACAAATCCGAGGATTTGGTAAAGAAGAGAAAACATTGTTAATAAAAGAGAGCCAGCAATTTATTAACGGGATTAATAATATCTAAAATTGCATACATCTTTCTGCGTGAATACTGTTATTATCTTAAGTGTAATTTAAGAGACTGGAACTGTAAAAAACCTATAGCTCTTAAAACGTGTATTATATGGACATGCAATATTAAGGTAAATTGCATTTTGAACATACAATGCAGGTGTACTTTTGATATAAAAGTGTGATTGCAACCCTACTTGTATTAAACGTTTCTTTATACAATACCATTGGATCTGAAAATTATTTAAATGTTTTCAGCAACACGTTCAAACTCCATAATAACATGTTTTAGTAATAACTTCAAAGACATACATTATAAATAAGCATTTTATAACTATCTGTTACACGGTAAAGCGATTTTTCTTTTCGGAATAAGGCCACCGTTATCTTATCAAAAGTAACTACATAAGGCCAGAGGTTAGACAGATATCGTTCACTGTCCGGATAAAAGCTGTTTCGTACACAAAACCAAACTTATTTGAAAGTCGATCTCAGCTGAGTTAAGTTCGTGGTAATCAAGTGCATCGGTACAAGTGCGGTGTCATCAATGATGATTTTTGATTGGCAGCATTGATCACAACACGTTGTTGATTGGCAACACTGTTTGTCACTGCCACGGGCATCACGTACTTTTGTGGCACTAAATATAACGAAGGGTCAGTGCCAGTGCCAAAAGTAGCCGAGTCGCGTCCGGATGTTAGGTCAGTGTTACAGTTACTTCCACAAATCTTCAACTGGTTGACTTTTACCGAGTGGCTTTGGATTAAGAATTTTATATTTTACAGTACAGTTGGTGATACCTGTGATAAAATTGCAGTGCGTGATTTAGAGTGAAGTTTTTTGTTTCGAAGTTCAAGTTACATGTTCATTGAACTTCTTACCCACACTTGTAAGGACTCTTAAAAAGATTTGTTCACCGGAGCTACTCCTCGCGAATGTCAACTGCTTTGCGATCCTTTGACGATGAAGTTATAGTTTCTGCACAATTTCACATCTTGTACTCAAAGATTTACTAACATCAGTTACCCCTCACTGATGAGTTGATCTTCTCTACCACTGAATCTTGAACCTACGGTTTCTGCGAACATCTCGGCTTGTGACTCTTGGAAGAATTGTTCACCACAGCTACTCCTTACTGATGAGTCTATCTTCTACTTGTTGATCCTTCACCACGGAACTTTGAAGCTACAGTTTTGAACTCCTTACCCACACTAAGAACTCTTTGAAGAGTTGTTCACCCCAGTTATTCCTAACGGATGAGTCTTTAGCTTCAGACAGTTTCGTTCTCGTCGATCAACAATAAGGACTCTCGGAAGAGTTGTTCACCTCAGCTACTCCTCAATGATGAGTCGCTCTTCCACTTGTTGATCCTTAAGACTCTTCGAAGAGTTGTTCACCTCAGCAACTCCTCACGGATGAGTCGCTCCTCTGTCTACTGATACGCTACCACGGAACCCTTCGTCAACTCCCGGCACCTCCAGAAGGTGCTTTTCCGTCGTCTGATAAAAACCGCCACGTGTCCGAAGCCCCAGCCTTTGCCGCCCCATGCGGTCCTTCCTGAGGACTCCGGGGGCTCCACCCGTCGACCTCGCGCTCCTAGACTCTCCATCACCCTCTCGGGCCCCGCGCCCTCTCCACTCCCCCCTGGCTTGGACGAGGTGCTTCACTCTCCATTGTCAACGTATGTATCAGCCACACAATCCGCTATTGTTATGTCAATTTTGCAGATCTTGTCTAACCCTAGGTTAAGGTGTTGCGCGGTGAGACTGTATATAACTGCGGGTATTCCCGGTGTTCTCTAAGCTCACAATGTCGCTACCACAACGTACCAACCCGCTCTTCAAACGGCTCATCCTTACTAGGTAGGCGTGTGTGTCAATGTTAACAGTTAATTATAATCATGTTCAGTTTTGTGTACTGTTTTGGGGGGATTAGACACATTTAGTGTACCCATTTATTATAGTATAAGAAAAATAACATACAGAACTTGAAATTAAAATTAAGTTGACTTACAAAATATTTGTCTACCCTTGCGTAAAAGGTTTTTATCAACGATTACATATTATTACGTGCTTGTTGGTTTCGATTGATATCAGAGTCTGTGCTCGCTGATTGATATCGCGTCGGTAATTGTGGAGTATAGTGGTATCAAGAAGGGAGGAAATGTTAATTGTACAATTGTCACAATTGCAAATATTTTAAAACCCGATTATTACCTTTTAAACTAACGTACCAAAAGGTGGGCATGTTCATAAGTTAATTAAACAGTCACAACAGAAAATATTTGTACGACGTGTAGGCTTACGTACACCCAGCTTATTAGGTTTGTATTTTGCAATTAACTTTAGATTGCTTACAAATTGTAAAAAATAAGTATCGTTTGGTTAGTATGAATACACTTATTTATTTTTATTTTGTTATTTGGATATGACCCGTCAAGAAACATTTCTATCCATTTTTACCTAAGACCTATGAAGATAACAATGTAGAGCAATTTTAGGAGTTATTTGAGAGGTAAAAATCTGTAACTTACTGCAAATTAGCTTTACACTCCAATACTTCTAGCTCACTTGTTCACTACTGTTACTTAAACAGGGTTTGAAATCTCCTATATAAACGTCGGTTTTGGAATGGAAATAGTAATAATTTTTAGACGGTACGTTTTCAGTCTCTCATTTTTATCTGTTTAAACATTCAGTAATAGAGATCATTAAAATAACACATTCACACCTTCACTTCTACAACTAATAGTTTCGGAGTTATGGTCCAATGGGTTTAGGTATATTCTAAGGATTCTGCGTTTGCTATTAATATGTTTAATATGTGTTAAAGTTCTAGAAAGTTTAGAATACTGTAAAAGGAATATTTTTCAAGAGTGGATTGGGGCATCTAATCATTTAATTGTCTGCATTGATTCATTGATCAATTTAAGAACCATGACAATTAAAAATTTGCATCGATTCGATATACGCATTCGATTGATTCATCGACTGCATTGTTATGTTTGTAAACAATCACTATTTTCAATTATTGCAATTTTTTCCTAACTATTCGTAGTTTTAAATAATCGCCAAGTTTTAAACTGAGTACGTCTTATACTTATATTAACATGTGGGATTTGTGGAATGGGAATAGAAGATACAAAAACATTTCTCCACATAACACTAAAAATTACATAAATGTTTACAAATTGTTCCACCGAAGAAAATGTATATAATTTGTAACTTTAAATTGTAAAAATATTATGATAGTTGCAGAAAAAATTTAGAAAATCGATTAGTTGGAAACTCTGTCATCCATATTTCATATAAATTTGGCTTCTTTCTTAATGCTACAAAACTATAACAAAACAGCGTACAAAATTTCAATGTGATCACTTATTTGATGTCGAATTGTTATAAAAATGGTCTCTTAAGGATTGAAAATGAGCTAGCTAAAACCTGCTTTTTATAGATTTTTAATTCAACTTCTATTAAAACTCCATTTTTTCTAGTCAAATTGTTGGTAGAATAATGTTATGAGTCCTATACTTTAAAAAAGTACAGTAATTCAATGTTTACTACTGAAAAAAATATTTCGTTTTCGAATTCGGCAGAAATTTGTAATTTGCATTACCTTACTCTTCGCCCGCTCAACCATATAATTAAGTTAGTTTTAATTTAGAAACTGGTAACAACTTTTACATGGGAATGTGATGTTAACTATAAACAGTCAAACATTACATACAAGTAGTCCAACCTAGGTTTTCTATATCGACGTTAAAAACACAATAAATACATTTAAATCACTAGAAACACATGTTTACAACGTAGTTTGTCAGTTTGACTGTAGAATGCAGCACTTGTCGATACTGGGCGGAAAAGTTCAATCTGTAGCCGACAGGTTTCGTCGTCGTAGTGTTTAGCGATTTCTTCGTTTTGCTTTGCTGTTGTTTGTTGTTTTTTCCCGTCCCGGTAAATATTTCACACTCACACAAGTCACACGCACAAGTGTTCTGGCCTTGGAGTATCGTGAAGGTAAGATTTTTTGTTTCTTTTTTATGAGATTAGATTTGAATCTTGAAAGTAAAGTTAGTTCATGTAGTGTATGTGTTTATGTGCTTATATAAATGGAGTGTAAGCTATTCAAAGAAAATGTCCCTTAACCTCAAATATACTACAGAAGTGGCAACTGTTGTCGGTGTTACCTTTTAGCTGTGTTATAGTCAATGGTTTTAGTTATAACTTGTTTATATAAATGACATATATGTTTGTAATTTGGGTGTTTGTTTTTTGTTATTGTATATTGTATTGTACTCCAGTTGGAAAATTAATTAAACTTGAAATTTCTATTCATTATTTGTCTAATTAGTGCTAATTTACTAGTACTGGCCAATCTTACGGCGTCCAGTTTTCAGTATATTTTTTAAAATTCGCTTTGTTGAACTAGTTCTAAAATTTATCATATTAACTGCGAAACCCTATATACAGTAATACGAAATTTACGAAATGTTCATCGTTGTTCAGAATCAAAATACCCCAATAATAGGCATATCTATATATATAATACGTGAAGCCGTATTTTGTTAACGCAACTCCTCCCTTATTTGTGGACCAATTTCAACGTTTAAGGTGTCAAAAGATTCGTCTCAATATGTAGTTTTGCAATAAGGTTTTAGAACTTTAAGATGTCTACTCTTAAGGGCGCGAGACCCTCTCAAAGGTCGGGTTTTCCCCATAAGAAATAAACAGAACAAATTTAAAATAAAAAAACAGCTGTTTATAAAAAGAAAGTCATTAGCTTTTTTGGGAGTAAATATTGATGTTTTAATATTCATTAGGTTAAGACCAAGTTAAACAGTTAATCAGTTTTGTTGGAAGAACGGAAAATGCCTGGAGTTCAAAAAAGAAATATTGAAAACGGAAGGAGGAGACAATAAGGCATCTTATGCGTATAAGGAGAGTAGAGAATGATAGGCCTGGTCTAACAGATACACATCCATATACACATTCACTTGGTAAGATGAATAATATGTTTGTGGTATAGAGCTTGTGTAGAAAATAAAATGTAAGGTGAAGTATTGTGTATATACTTTTTGTGTTTTTGTATATACAGTAGTTAAATAAATTATATGAATAATATTTTAACTACTATTTATATTACGTACTCTTTTTCAAGTTGATTTTTGTAAATTATAAATATGGTTACAAATGGGACTGGTCGAATATACTGAGTTAAAATTATAATATGTAATTTTTTAATCTTCTTAATCTTTTTTAATCTTTTTTTATCTTGATAAAATACTAGTACAGTCGTAGAAAAAGTTTAATATAGTACTTAAGTGCATGTCGCATTTAAGTATGAGTGAGTACTACGATAGCGTAGACCATTAGTTCACAATCGAGTATGATATTCAATAAGAAAGCAAGTCATAACTCTAACCCATTCGACTCTGCATGTTGGGTGTCTCAAACTACTTATACGATAGAGCAGGAATTACATTTACTAAATTTTACTACTAGGATTTTATTAAAACAATGTTTTGTTGTAATATGTAAAAATTTAAACATTGTCATTTTTTGTATTACACACATCGGTTTCGTAGTAAAAAATCACGCGCAAACAAATATTCCTTTTTGTTAGCGGATGTTTGCCAATTAACAAAAAATAGGATGTCTTAAATTATCAATTCCAGTTTCTAGGATGATACATAATATGGATACCTAATATATAGGGTACGGCCTAATATGATGATGATATAACGCGCAAGCAAGGTTAATACACTCTGTAAAGTCTAGAATCTAATTTAAATCCTGCCCTTGGCGAGGATCTAAAATCGTACTGTTTTAAGTTCTGGACTTAACGGATTTTGCTAGATTCTTGTCTCAGCAAGAGACGAGAATCTAAATTAAGTTCTGGACTTATAGGTACTTGACTCAGCAAGTCAATTTTTAAACTCCAGAGTCTAACCAGCCAAATAAACTCCGGAGTCTAATAAGTTCTGGACTTCGCTAACGCCCTATCTCAGCAAGCCATTTCTTAGACTCCAGAGTCTAAAGCAGGTTTAAGTCTAGAACTTAGCTAAATCCCGAGCTCAGCAACCGGCCCTAATAATATGGATTAGGATTAATGTTTAACTTTCAGCTGTCCGACAGTTTGCTTATCATTATTTGGCGTTGGTGAAAAAAGGAACGAAAAAAACTATAGAACATTTTGAAGTGTTAATTTTAACCATTTTAGCCCATCCTTAGCCGTATAGGTTGTAGTATTTTTATACTAGTACTACCATTGACTATATACCATAACCATGGTATATAGTCATGGTATATACTCAATGGTTCTGGCGTCCACCTCCAGGAGTGCCGTGTTTACGTAGGGTGCGCTTTACCTCAGCTCGGGCTTCAGTAGCTATGTTTCACTATTGGACAGCGCTGCGAGAAGCGCTTGCAGACGTTTCCAAGATTACTGTTTTAGAATTAAGTACCTGGGGACCGAGCTTTGCTCGGAGAAAATCATTAGTTCACTCTGAAAGCAGTCTTAGTATCGGAGATACGTAAATCTGTTCCCAAACTCCACACGGCTCGCCTTTACAACGTCCTACACCATTTCCTACGTCATGGACCTGTTTCCCTCCATTCCCAAAGCACTTTAAGATTGTAGATACCTTAATCTAATCGTTATTAACAGTTCCCACACTCCGGA